ACTTAACATTATTTTGCTTAAATATTTATGTAGCCTAAGGAGAGTCGAGCCTCCGACCGCTACCCAGTATCAGCACTTGCATCAGATTCCAAGTTTTCAGGTGGGGGTCATGTACTGGATTCCACATCATAGATAATATCTGTACCATGACAGAGGTATGTATTGAGACAGTTAGTTACGGGTGGGGGCCGACCTAAGAGCTTAAATATCCCATCTCATGACCGGTGGGGGACCGACCTAAGGGCCTTTATACCCCATCGGCGTGTGCACACGAGCGGCCGACCTAAGGGCCGAGGGTCTTTTGACCACAGAAAAGAAAGAAAAGAAAAGTTTACAGTTTCAGCTCTTATATATTTATGTTCATGACACGTTATTATAGATGATGTTTTATTCAGAACTGGTCTTTGCGGAGCATAGTGGTTTGCTCACGCCCCCATTGTGTTTTTCAGGAGACGGAGTCGAGCGTGCCGGATGAGCACAGATGTGGCGAAGCGTGGTCATGAGAGTTGGACATATTTTACGCACATTTTTATGTCCTAATTTATGATCATGTATTTGATTCAGTTATGTATGCATGTATTCTGTATTTCGGATGCTTCCGCTAGCAGACTAGACCGTGCGAGACAGTTCAGACATTGCATGTTTAATTCCATTATCCGCAGCGGATAGCTTGGTTGCATGTTTCATTTGTGTCTGTGAGAAAGTTAAGTTTTTATCTGTGACATCTCACAATGAGTCAGTATTTTCGAAAACCAAGCTCGCACGACCTTTCGAAAATAAAAACAAAAAATTTTACTCTGATTTTTCAAAGCTAGTAAGGCGGGGTGCCACAAAAGCTGGTATCAGAGCGCAAAATGCGTTTCTGTATACTTTCAAAGTTTAGAAAAGCATGACCACGCCACGCTCATCTGCACCGACTCCGAGGTAAGTCACCTGACTCAGTTTAAGTTTTGCAAGTGCTAAATTCAGTTCAAGTATGGGGCCTACATAACTATCCTCCTATAAGACAGATAACTCTAGAGACAGAACTCTAGACAGAACTCTAGAACAGCTAAGTCCAAGGACTCTAGACTAAGTCAGAACTCCATTACGAGCCAGAACATAGAAAGTTTAAGTATACCGGAACTCTATCCAAGCTAGGTGTTTTCGGACATTTGTTATTTATTTTATTATTTCAAGTCTAGTATGGCTATTTCTTAATTGGCTATACTAATCAGTTCAAGTATAATTGGATCTTCGGAATGCCGTCGCGTACAGATCCCCAGGCACCAGTTGAGCAGGACCAGGCTGTTGTGGTAAGCCGATTCTGTACCTATGATCCGCCCAGTTTCACTGGGGAGAAGCCCGTTAGCCGTGGCCGAGTGGATTTGGAAGATGGAGAGATCTTCCGTATTATGGGGATTTCGGAGGCACACAAGATGGCGTGCGCCGAACTGCAGATAGAGGGAGCCGCCGGAGACTGGTGGGAGAATTACTGGCGTCTACGCACTGAGGATGAGCGTGACGCTATGAGATGGACTCAGTTTAAGACAATATTAGAGGACAAGTTCTATCCTCGCCATTTCAAGCAGAGGATGGCACGGGAGTTTGCCGCTCTCCAACAGGCTGAGCGTTCAGTGGACGAGTATGAGCGCGAGTTCGCTTGTAAGAGTGCCTTTGCTTCGCATCTTGTTGATACGGAGGAGAAGAAAGCGACACAGTTCCTCGATGGTTTGAGGAGCAACATCCGACTCTTGATCACCAACAATGGCTTCCTTGACTATGCCGAGACTGTTGAGCGTGCTCAGCAGATTGAGGCGTGCATTCAGAGGGACGCCTGCGCCCAGCCACTAGCCAGACAGCCAGCCGCCATTCTGCCACCCCAGGCAGCTCAGCAGACGAACAAGAGGAAGTGGGAGGATCGCAAGGATAAGAGGAACCGTAGACAGAGGGGCCCAGCTCAGGCGAGCTAGCCAGCCCGACAGGACCTGCCGGCATGCGCTAGCTGCGGACGTTAGCACCGCGGGGAGTGTCTTGCCGGGCAGGACATATGCTACCATTGTCGCCGCCCAGGACACCGGATCAGAGACTGCCCAGACCGCCCTCAGCCACGCAGGGCCAAAGACCACTAGCTCAGAGACAGCCCGCACAGAGACAGCCAGCACCTAGACAGCAGGGCCAGAGGCCGCAAGGACAGCAGCAGCAGCGTGGAGCACCCGCTCATATTTACCCACTCGACCAGGAGCAGGCCGCAGAGCAGCCAGGTACCATGTCTGGCATGTTATCATTGTTCCATACTCTAGTCTTCGCTTTATTCGATACCGGGGCGACACATTCGTTCGTCTCGGCCAAGTGCTTATCTGTCTTAGGGGCCCAGGGAGTGAGTACTGTTGACCCTCTCGAGATCAGTCTCGCATCGGGGAGGAAGATAGTTACGAGTTCCCTGGCCAAGAACCTTAGCATCGATATCGGAGGCTGAACTCTAGTCGTAGACGCGTTTGTGATTGATATGAATGACTTCGACTTGATTCTCGGCATGGATTGGTTGACGAGATACCGAGCAGACATCCGTTGTCGCGACCGGGAGGTGACACTACACTTATCTGAGGGAGACCGCATTACGTTCTTCAGGACGAAGTCTCGAACTTTACCGCGCGTTATTTCCATGGCAAAAGCGACAAAGTACATGCAGCGAAAGGATTGTCAGGGATTTCTTGTCAATATCGTTAGGGAGTCTTCGGAGAAGCTGTCTCCCGGAGATATACCTATTGTTCGAGAGTTTGTGGACGTTTTTCCCGATCAGCTCCCGGGAGGACCACCTAACCGCCAGGTGGAGTTCACTATCGACTTAGTCCCAGGAGCGGGACCAGTGTCGAAAGCGCCGTATCGCATGGCGCCAAAAGAGCTTCAGGAGTTGAAGGCTCAGATTCAGGAGCTTTTGAGTTTCGGTTTCATCCGACCGAGCGTATCACCTTGTGGAGCATCTGGCCTCTTTGTCAAGAAAAAGGATGGGTCTATGCGTATGTGCATCGACTACCGGGATTTGAACCGGTTGACGGTGAAGAACAAGTATCCGCTTCCCAGAATTGAGGACTTATTCGATCAGCTGAGGGGAGCCAGTGTATTTTTCAAGATCGATCTCCGCTCTGGTTACCATCAGCTGAAGATCAGAGAGGCTGATGTGGCCAAGACCGCTTTCAGAACTAGATACGGTCATTATGAGTTCGTTGTGATGGCGTTTGGCTTGAGCAATGCGCCAGTGGTATTCATGGATCTCATGAACCATGTCTTTCATCCATTCCTGGATTAGTTTGTCATCGTCTTCATTGATGATATTCTGGTCTATTCCAGTAGCCCGGAGCAGCATGAGGAGCATTTGAGGACCGTTTTGGAGACTCTTAGGCGTGAGAAGTTGTACACCAAGTTCTCTAAGTGCGAATTTTGGCTCGATCGAGTGGCTTTTCTGGGCCACATTGTCACTTCCAGAGGGATAGAAGTAGACCATCGGTGAAGTTTGAGTGGGATAGTCGTTGTGAGTCGAGCTTCCAGAAGCTCAAAGCGAGGCTTACGACGACCCCAGTGTTGACTATTCCGGACCCCACACAGGGTTTCACTATCTATAATGATGCCTCGAAGCAGGGTCTAGGCTGTGTTTTGATGCAAGACGGCAGGGTTGTGGCTTATGCTTCTCGTCAGCTAAAGCCGCACAGGTGAACTACCCGACTCACGATCTTGTGTTGGCAGCAGTGGTTCACGCCCTGAAGATTTGGAGGCACTATCTGTACGGAGGCCACTGCGAGATTTATACAGACCACAAGAGCTTACAGTATATCTTCACGCAAAAGGAGCTCAACATGCGCTAGAGGCGATGTTAGAGCTCGTGAAAGATTATGACTGTACCATCAACTATCATCCGAGTAAGGCGAACGTAGTTGCCGACGCCCTCAGTCGAAAAGAAAAGGGCGAGCTAACCTGTATGATCACCCAGCAGCGTCAGCTGATCAGAGAGTTCGCCCAGATGCAGTTAGAGGTCGTCGAATCACCTCCTACATTGCCAGTTGTGGGAAGTATTCGAGCGATGAGGATGTGGCCTATGCTTAGAGACAAGATCCGGCGGGATCAAGCCTTTGACGAGTTCATTCGCTCGATGGAGGTGAAGATTCATGCTGGAAGAGTTGAGGGTTTCTACCGAGGCACTGATGGTGCCTTGGAATACAAGGGAAGGATCGTTGTGCCGAATGTCGAGGCCCTGAAGAAGGAGATCTTGACTGAGGCGCATAGTGCTCCATACTTGGCGCACTCCGGTAGCACCAAGATGTATCACGCCCTGAAAAGGTCATTTTGGTGGAAGGGGATGAAGCGAGATGTCGCCGAGTTTGTTGAGAAGTGTCTGATTTGCCAGCAAGTGAAGGCTGAGCACAAGGTTCCACCGGGTCCCTTACAGCCTTTAGAGATTTCGCAGTGGAAGTGGGAGAAGCTGACCATGGACTATGTCACGGGATTACCAATGTCGGCCAAGCGCCACGACGCGGTATGGGTAGTAGTGGATCGACTGACGAAGTCGGCCCACTTTATGCCCGTCAGAATGGACATGTCCATGGAGCAGCTAGCAGACATGTACCTCCAGGGAATCGTTCGACTCCACGGCGTTCCAGCCGAGATTGTATCAGATAGAGATCCTTGATTTACTGGCCATTTCTGGGAGAGTCTGAACGAGTCCATGGGGACGAAGCTGAAATTTAGCTCCGCCTATCATCCACAGACTGAACTAGGCAGATATTGGAGATTTACAAGGCTAGTAAACAAGACAAACTCCAATATAAAATAAAAATTCTATGCAAATTAAAGAAATATCTTCAATCATGAGATAACCTAGTAGACAATCTTTCAGAAACACTTTCTCTAGCCGATATGTCGAATAGCAAAAATATGAATATCAAAAATATAATTGCTGGTAGCACCCATGTGAGGGCACTACCAGTAGAGGTAGGATCGAAACTATCCTATGTGGTGATGATATAATGAGGTGATTTTCTCAATAAGCTAGTGTAAAGGAATAAGAGTTCTTTTATAATAAATGAAACTTTAATATGATAAGATGATACATATTTAACTGAATCAAAGAATGTATTACATAGAATATGTATCAAATGAGCAAGAAAATCACTAAGATGGTAAAAATCATCTTGGCGCAAGGAGATACGGTAGTAGGTAACAGATGTAATTTCCTACTCTTCATCACCAATTGCATCATCAGAAAATTCAAGGAGTTTGTGCCAATTTTGCTGTAATTTCCTCTGATTTCATTCCACTTTAAGAACTATCTTCATGAACTCGTAGACAAAGAAGCTTATTGATGCCGAAGGTAGTACCTGACGGATCATAATAAACAGGGTTTGAGACATTGATAAAGAGCAAGAGTTAACAAGAAACCATAACTATAATTCATAATCAACCACGACAACCAATAACATTAAAATTTACAGATATGATTGATAATCACATTTAAAGCACTCATTCTTGTCTGTTAATCATCAAGACTGTAGAAACTCAATAAGATAAACAAACCACAAATGATGTGAAAGGGTGAAGGTTCAGAGACAAGGTGCTTGAAAAAAAAAGAATAAAACTTTAATAAAGCGTGGGAGTAACAGATTTTACTGAGAAGAACCACAAGTGAATTACTTTATTTCTTATAAATCAGTTGCTCATTTGTCACCATCAAGGATCCAAACAAATATCTCTATATGATCAATATCCTAACATTCACCAAATTACTAGAATGCTACACATCAGAACATCTCACTGATCTTGGTCTGGTGATCTGTAAAAATTAAAACCTAAGTAAAAATAAAGTATAAGGGAAAGAGATTAATTGTTTCAGAGCATTGATTGGTTGCAGTTGGGTAAACCCATCATACAAGCACTCGTGTATTTGGTAACTGTGGATGAAATATTCAGTTAATAAGTTCAAAACGAAAACCCAAAATTCTGAGTTTCTTACTAAAAACTATAAACAAAACATTTTGATGGCATAAGGATCAAGGTTATATTTTAGCTTGCTTGGGTTCACATATGTGGACTATTAACTTCATTTAATGGTAGGAAAGGTGCCTGTGTCGGTCCATGTGATTGACATGTTTTGTTTTGACAGCTACTCAGAAGGAGCCAAATGAAGCAGGATAGTGTAGCCTCGAGTCTGTTAGGAATTTCTAATTATGAAATTTGTGTAGATTTGTTTTTTTCACCTTTGTCCTCTTCATCTATAAAAAACATCAGTCTCCTAGCAAAAATGTTTTTTTATAGCCTCTTTATGTTAAACAGCGTTACAGTAGCAACTAGCAAGGCATTCTTATAAGAACAAACAAATGCCTAAAAGTGATATTAACTTGAACCTCTAAAGCTAATACGATAAGGTTAATTCGCTAATATGCATATCATCCATTCACAAGTTGCACGTTTTCTGCAATTTATGATAAGGTCCATTATTTAAAGTCATCATAGTCTTTGTTACATTAACCTCGTTCATTTATTAGTAACCTTAGCATAATTTTCANAAAAAAAAAAAAAAAAAAACCCAGAATCTTCATAGTAGAATGATAATTGAATTTAGAGATTCTGTTTGACGTATAGGATGCAAATCCAAAGCCTTGTTCAGATTTCATGGAATTCTAGTTGTGATGCCAATTTTTCTTTTTCTTTCTTCAATAATAAGTTTCAATCTTCCATAAGAACAGTTAGAATAGTAACAATCTCTATTCATATTTCCTGTCAACTAAACAAAGGTGAAAGGACATTGACAATTTGACATTCCTCAATCAAATCTGACATCCGAACAGAGCACTAAAAGAACTAATCCTTACCAACCTCCAGAAGTTAATTGTGAAAACCATTCACCGCCACGAAGCATGCAAACAGACGCATAAAACTTGTCCTAAGCCGACTTCCCATTTTACATACTACCATATAATGCTCTAACCTGACTGAGTACAATAAATACAGCAACTATAACCAAAAAGTTCATAATCATTTGTATACAAAAAAATTCACTCAAAATTTCATTCAACTCAAAATCTAACTCAACTCTAATTCAACTCCAATATTCTCAATATCATCAATATAATTAAATAATATCATCCACTCATTCTTATACATGACATCTACTTTAACTAACTATTCATCCAATCACATAATTTTAACTAACCATCACTTCTTATCATCTCTCTCCTACTTTTACATCAAATCAACTTTAACCATTTCATTTTAAATATTATTCTAATATAAACCCAAAATCCCACTAACAACTAACCATACCATTTTTTTTCCAAAGTTAACCAAAAAAATCCAATTTGAATGAAAATTTTCATATACAAACATTCGTACCTGTAACAAGCTTGGGATAAGACCCGCGTAAAGTGCAGGGACCCCACCACTCTCAATTATCTTCACAAAAGTGGCGAGCGTACTCAATTTAGCCCCACGGCTCTGAAGCTGGAGTTGCCTCCTCAGGACCTCAAACGGGTAAGTAGCTGCCTCCGCGCAAGCCCCTGCAATAGCACCGTGCAATAGGGTTCTTACAGGTCCAAGCTCCAGCTGCTCAAAAGCATTCATCTCATGCTGCTTCATGTTCTGAATCCTTTTCCTGCCTTCAGGTGAATGCAAGTAAGCCGATTTAAGCGCGTCGTAAACGCCGTAAAATACGGCCCCAGAAGGGGCCATGCTTAGAATCGAGGGTAATAATCCTTTGTAAAGAGAAAAAAAACCCTCGTGTCGGATTACATGCCGGAAAGCTCCGATAACACCACCAAGGGCTTCTCCACCAGGTGCTACCAGCCTAGTTCGGATCTGGAATGCGTGTATAGTGATGAGTAGTGATCATAAGAGGACTTTTATTTTCCAAAGGCAGAATTGCGTATCATTACACCACCTTTCATGATTTTGTAATTTAATCACCGCAATTGAAATTTTGCAAATTAATACACCACCTTTACTGTTTTTGCAAATCGATACATGAGTAACGATTCCGGTTAACGAAAATGTAACGGAAATCTGACATGACATGGCATTAAACCACGTCAATGCCATGTCAGATTTATGTTAACGGAACCGTCGTTCATGCATCGATTTGCAAAAATGGTAAAGGTGGTGCATTAATTTGTAAAATTTTTGCAAAAGCATGAAAGGTGGTGTATTAATATGCAATTTTGCCTTTGGAAAATGGTAAAAGCAAGAGTAGATGCGGGGATAAATGAAACAAAAGGGATAATCATTTAGAACCACCTTCCACCAAATTACCCCATTAACTTTCCTACTCTTACTAGGCGTAACGAGAGAGAATTTACATAATTGAATAAATTCAGTTGACAATTGATTGACACTTGCTACTATTTTCGCTCTTTATTTTTTTCTTTGGTGGAAAGAACATAACGAGAGAGGATAAAGGGGAAAAATGTTAAAATTAAATTCCAATTCATTTCCATACCTCTCTACACCTTCATTCAAATTTAGAAAAACCATTGTCATCTCCCATTCTCTCCTCGCCTGTTCTTTCAATAAAATTTTCCTCCAAAACATGCACGAGTGAAAGGTCAAAATTAGCTTCAAGCTCAGTAGACGTTCTTGATTTCTTAAAGTGCCTGGACTTGGCAGCAGGAAACCATTTTACAACTCATTTCAATTTATTCCTCAACTGAAACAACAATAATGCCGATATTCATCGACGATAAACATGTTTTTCTGATACATTTTGAATCAATGACACCCAAATTAGCGGTTGGCCATAAATTTTAGAATCATACTTATCTTTACATTTAATAGAGCTATAGAAGTTTTCTCAACATTCACCTAAAAAGTGACTCAAAATAATAGCAACATCAATAAGGAACAAGTTATAAGTTGTTACGCACGGTATCAAGCGGCAGGCAAAGCACCGTAGCTGTAATACCAGCGGCAGCACCAGCAACCAATCTCTCGGAATTAGTGGTTTCTTCATTTCCGAATAAAATGAGTAGCTGCTTTCGATATGTATCATAAGCACAGAAATTGATCGCCTTGAAAGGAGCTGTACGGAGTATATTAACAAAATTTCCCTTCCAAAAGCCTCTTACGCCTTGAGTTTTTGCTATTTTATGAACAAGTTCAACGAGGTTCCTCTTCTCACCACGGACTATATACTCCAACTTTAGCCTCTCAAGTGGAGCTAAACATGTCCTGTAGGACAATAAAATATTAGCACATTTTTCCTCTGTATATTCTCATGGTAAAATGAGAACTGCATTAGTAAGTTCATGATTAAATCATCCCAAGAAAAACAATTAGTTCTCAAAAAGTGTAGCTTCTCATTGTTGGAATTAACATGAACTTCCAGATATTTATAATATTCAACTGCATAAGCACCCGACCAGCATAACTAATTGAAAAATATATCTCTTCAATTCATAAGAAACAAGAACTAAAATGGACAAAATCATTTAACAATTCTTTTGCTTATTCACATTACATAATTAAATTAAACAATCCAACTCTTGAATCCCCTGAAACTCCGAAGAAACTCAAAACATCCGGAACAAGTCAGTTAGTACCAAGTCCTATCACTATAAACAAACAGACACATCAACGAGAAAGAGTAAGAGAGAGAGAGAGAGAGAAGAAAATAGGATTACCTCGAAACCATGGCAGCCACAGCTCCGGCCCACAAATGCTTTGTGGTATTCACCGCCCCACGTCCCCTTAACCTAACTCGCATTCCATTTCCTACCTTTACCATCTCAGTTTCACCACTCGCTGCCGTACGTTCGGATGAATTATTGTTCGCCGCTCCATCTTTCCCCTTAATTGACAAGCTCAAACACAAAAATTCCCACCGCTTTCGCCTCGCTCTCACCGAGCAACCACTGAAGCCACCTTCACCAGATGTTGTACTGACAATTGACGAAGGAATCGTGCTGCTGTCCAGGAACAACCCACCGGAGCAGAAGACTGGGTTTTTCAATCTACCGGTTAAACCCATTTGCGAATTTTCGGACCGAATGTCGAACCCGGACATTATTGAAGTTGAATTCAGCTATTATTGCAGATTGGCAACATTAAGCATCGGAGGATACTAGGGATATTCTTGCTGATATTCAATGAGAGAGAGGACATGGCACCGTTTCAACCTGCTTCCATGGCTATGTGCACGGCTGACGGCTCATTCTGCAATCAGTGTTGACAGCCATTCTGTGCGAGTTTATTGCGTGAATAGAGCTGACCATAGTTTTGAAAACCGAACTGAAATCAATTCGAATCGAAAAATAACCGTTGATTGTTTGACTTTTTTCGAATCAAACCAAATCAAAAAAATAATTGGTACGGTTTTGGAGATTTTAAAAACTAAAAATAGCTATTTTCACCCTCTATTGAAGTCCTGTTAAGTTTTCACACCGCCCAATAAAAAACTAAGTTTTTCCCCCAGAAAGAACGAAGACGTATGCGATGAATTATGCGATAGATAGACGACCGGTATGAGCATGGGCGAGAAAATTATGAGTTAAAGTATGCGACTGTTCAACGACGAATATGCGGAGATTCGATGTACGATTCGGTCAATCGCGATCCGTCGCCCATTAAATAATTATTCTTGTTAGGCGAATGAATCTGCGACTATTAGTCGAAAAAATTATTCTGCGACATACAAACATCGCATATTATTCGCAGAGTTGGTGCATAATAAGTTTTTTTTCGTAGAATATTTTTTATTTCTTTCATCTTTCAATTATGAGATGGGGTATGCAAATTGCCGCATATTGCTCGCATATCCCCTTCGCACTTCTACTCGAAATTTTAATTTTTTATTTCTTTCAGTTATTTCAGTTATGCGAGGGGATGAATTGCCGCATATTACTCGCATACCCCTTCGCACTTCTACTCGAAAGTTTATTTTTTATTTCTTTTTTATATCTTTCAGTTATTTCAGTTACGCGAGGGGTATGCGAATTGCCGCATATTGCTCGCATACCCCTTCGCATTTCTACTCAAAAATATATTTTTATTTCTTTCAGTTATTTCAGTTAGGCGAGGGGGTATGCGAATTTTCGCATATTGCTCGCATACTCCCTTCGCACTTCTACTCGAAAGTTTATTTTTTATTTCTTTCACCTTTCAGTTATGCAAATTGCCGCATATTTCTCGCATCCCCCCTTCGCACTTCTACTCCAAAGTTTATTTTTTATTTCTTTCATCTTTCATCGTTTAATTTAGTTTAATTTTTTTCTTTCAGGTATGAGAATAGCCACATACATACAACAAACAACAAAAATATAATAAAATGCAAAAAAAAAAAAAATGTATTACACGAGTCATTGAAGAACTAAGGCGGTAACTGTTTCTGGATCTGTACTAAACCGAAAAATTTCTCGAGAAATTTTGAGCCTCCTTTGGCTAGCCCACTGCTTGTTAGACTCGTTTAAGGGCTTCTTCCCCGTTAGCAATATTCGTACCATCTACACAACGCATACACCACAAGAAATTCTATCATCTTGCAAGATAGTATTTTTCGGGTCCATGAATTTCAATTCGAACTTTTCGCTCACCTCTACTCCTGCATGCGTCTTAATAAATGGAATTAGATTTTTGATTTTTTGGAGTGCTTTGACGCGGGAATCGAGAATGTGCTTGTCCTCCTTTTCTAGATACGTATGCCGTACGGGGTCAAACACATGTATCGACCCCTTACGTAAAAGGATCTGGACAGTTACGTAGTGCTCCGACAAATTTGCTACTCCAATAATCTGTTGCATTGAGTTGTGAGAAATTCACTATTTTTTTTAGGAAAAATTGCAATATTAATTGATTCGGAATCATTGAAAACTTACAGATTGAATCGTCCCCCAAGGACACGGATTCCCCCAATCGCTGACCCCCTCAGTCGCACAGCGAATCAAAGATTTGAGGTTGTCCAAGTTCGGGTCCTCTAACCCCTTTTCAACATCCTTTTCCAATACCCCCAGAATCCACTATATAAAATACAACAAAATAATAAATAATAACGTTATTAATAGAATTATTAATAAAAATGGAATGACAAGGAAAAGAGAAAGGATTAAAATAATCTCACAAAAAACGTAGTCGGCACGATGGTATAAGTGCCCAACATGTTGTCCCGTGGCTGAAACCCCAAAAATTGTGGATTGCTTTGCATAATCCCCAAGTATGCATTCACGTGTTGTTTTATAAAATCAAACCAAACATCATCCATCAATTCATTTTTATACGTTAAGATATTACAAGACAAACATATACATACCTCCTCCAACATCATTGTAGGCGGATCAATCAACTCCTTAAACCAGTCCTGGGCCACCTCTATGAAACGCCGACATTCCTCTTATTAAATAATATAATCGAAAGTTATTTTTTTTTTAATATAAACAATAAAAGATCTTTTGGATGTACTTACATTTCTTTATTCGTGGATTTGAGGAACCATTCAAATGCGCGTTCATCTTTGGCATACCGTCTGTTCTCATCGGGATGATATGGACTTACAACAGCACGTCCTGGTCGTCTTTGTCGATAAACTTTAATCCCCGAAGACGAGGACTGCGGAGAAGAAGTGGACTGCAGCACCGGTGTCTCGGAGGTGGAGGTGGGATCGACGACTGTCTCGAGGAGGGGATTGGGGACGGCTGTCACGGAGGTGGAGGTGGGATCGGCGACTGTCTCGGTGAGGGGATTGGGGACGGCTATCTCGGAGGTGGGAGTGAGGGAACGCTGTCTCTTACGGGAGGGGGTGACGGTTGTCTCGGAGGGGTGTGGGAACGCTGTCTCGATGGGGAGGGGGTGCGGGGACGCTGTCTCGATGGAGACGGGGTGCGGGAACACTGTCTTGATGGGGAGGGGGTGCGGGAACGCTGTCTCGTCGAGGAGGGGGTGCGAGAACGCTGTCTCGATGGGGAGGGAGTGCGGGAACGCTGTCTCGTCGAGGACGGGGTGCGAAAACGCTGTTTCTCATGGGAGCGGATGGGGGAACGCTGTCGATCATGGGAGGGGGTGTAACACTCCGCTTATCAGAGTAAATTTTTAGTAACTTTTACTTCGAAAATACTTATAAATTTTTCGAAATCTTTTGCACTTAACTCGGGATGCTACTAAACTTATCTTTTCTGAAAATCCGTTTTCCTTTAAACTCGGTTTAACTACTAGTTTAGACATAAAGAAAAATAGATTTAATCAAACATGCATATAAACTGAACCATGTTCATACTGTTGAACTGGTTAAAATCTGAAAGTCTGAAAATAATTAACATGCAGGTTAGAAACTTGAAATGCGTAGCGGAAATATGAAAAACATCTCTTATTATACAGAATGTATGAATAAATGTCCTCGTAAAATAATAACAGTCTGAGTCCACGACCCACCACCACTACTCAGCTCACACCTCTGCACCGACCCTGTTACCTAAAAATGATCATAGTGGGGCGTGAGTACTAATCCACTATACTCCGCAAAAACCAACACTGAATAAACAGCACATATAATCCAATATCATGAACTCAGCATATACATAAATAAAACTGCTGTAAACTTTACTGATGCAACTATCGGTAACTGGCCGGTTCTCATGTGATCACATTCTGGGGGTCGCCTCTCACAGAACCCAGTCTTGACTGGGCGAGTGACTCAGGATGGAAAAAACTTCCATACAACAGAATCATCTTAAACTGGACCACGAACGGAATAACTTTATCGTTCGGGTAAATAATCTCATCATAACTGGACCACAAACGGGATAACTCAACCGTTCGGGTAAATAAACTCATACATACCTCATAAATGGCAAAAGATTATAAGCAATGTAATACCCAGTGCAGGGTTCCCACCTGTTCTTCTTTTAAAAACTTTTGAAAACTGTAAGTGTTGTGCTGGGTAGCGGTATCTGCAGGCTACATAAAAATATAAACAAATATACTAAGTACTATGCTCGTAATACTCAATAAGATGCTAGGATGTTCGACTCTATCAGATAACTTATCCGGATATAAGGGAACACTAACGGTTCTCTAAAATCATACTAAGTCCGGAAATAAAACTGATATACTTAATTGAATTGTTTTGACTCGAAAAAATACTAAAATTTCGGAATAAGACTCGGACCGAAATACTCGAAATTAATTAAAAAAATAGTCAAACTTTATATCTCCTTTCGAATATACGAGACTGAAAGAATCGGGATAAACGAAGCCTCGAACTTTTAGCTCATTTTTATACTATTCATCCGTGAAATTTAAACTTCTCTAATTAAATGCTCAGAACTCCAAAATACTCGATAAATGGCTCAAATGGAATCGTGCCAAAAAGTTCTACACGTCCCGACTCATTTCTCTGTAAATCGAAATCACACGCTACCTTGCGAGGCCCATGAAATCGGCTTTTTTTATTTATTTTACTAATATGCACACTCGAACTCGAGCTTCTCAAAATAAATTCTCGAGACCTCGAAATGCAAAATAAAAGCATCTACCGTCATCTCCTCATCTCAAGCTTTCACTAAAACACTCTCATTAATTCTCGGCCCGCCTAACGAGGGCCGACGGGGTTCCCGAAGTCGCCGCATGAATATAAACTTGTTGCACATGCTAATGGATCGAGTACAATAACTCTAAACTAGCTAATCTTTTACCAGTATCAAAGACATAATTTATAATGGTTTGCAAGCTACTAAACTTGACTTGAACATACTAGCTATAACAAATTCGAATTTAAGGACTTAAACTTAAAAATTTTATAACTTCTCTTTTAAGCATACTTAGCTCGATTTCCTTACATGATAAATTTTTAAAATTGTAAGAAATTTAACGGCTATATTCACAACTATTAGGCGGAATTGAATAAACCCTAAACATGTAATTCTATCAATTCATAGAATATGGATCTTTTGCATAAATTAAATTGCACATAGAACTTACAAGAATCCAACTTATAGTCCTTCCCTGTTTTCTTGATCTATGATGTTCTTCTGCTATGAATTGTTTCTCTCTTCCGCGTCTCTCGTCTTTCCATAAAGCCCTTGATGTTGAGAACTTTAGTTTTGTATGAGATGGGAGAGAGGGGCATGCAGTATATATATAGGAGGAGTCCTACAAACCTATTCCTACTAACATTCCCCATGTTCTAACCTAACTTACTGTCCAAGTCAAACATCACAAATTGGACTCTTTAATATTAGAACATTAATAATCCATTAAATACATATTCACCTTAAATAAGTTTGACTATTAAT